ACTGACTGTAGTGGTAGCACCCAACGTTGTAGCATTTGGTACTGAATTGCTGGCCGCCTCTCTGAGGAGGTCCATTTGTATATAGATATGAACTGCTGTATAGATATAGATGCAGGAGTACCTATATAGATGTGCTTTGCGGCTCTGCCGGGTTCCATGGCTGTCTCTTATACACATCTAGATGTGTATAAGAGACAGGCTTATAAGGCACCACGACTCCGCTTATAAGGCACCACGACTCCGCTTATAAGGCACCACGACTCCGCTTATAAGGCACCACGACTCCGCTTATAAGGCACCACGACTCCGCTTGTAAGGCACCCCGACTCCGCTTATAAGGCATTTTTTTAATCATCATTATTTACATTATTCAAAATTCAACCTTCCCTTCAGAAATATATTCGTGTATATTGAATACCCTACAAAATATTATTCCACAACTATGGCCCATTTCTAAAAAAAATAATTTAGGATAAATCTAAATAAAAATGTAAAATTATCCTATATGAAAATTTTTCGATTAAAAAGTTGAACGTCATGCATATTCACCGCCATATTAATTCATTGCAAATTTACTCTGATAATGTGTGGCCATAGCAATGAAAAATTGTCGAGTTTTCTGTCACTTCCCAGGGATTTTTGTTCCAACATAAACTTTTATAAACATCGCTTCTCCGGTCATAAGATGATTGATTCGTGGTAATATATGGGAAATTATTTATTGATTGATTATTGTTTTACGATGCTCTTGTTGTATGTGTAGATCGTCTGTATTTTACGTATAGTTACGTATGTACCTACGTGTGTTGTTTGAGTAATTTTAAAGTTACGAAATTTCTTATTTATGGTGGTGGTCAAGTGATGTTGCTATGGCAACCGTCGCTGCTAGAAACTGAACTCTATTGTTCTAGGGTTGTTATGCTGCTGCTGTTGTTATGCTGCTGCTGTTGTTATGCTGCTGCTGTTGTTATGCTGCTGCTGTTGTTATGCTGCTGCTGTTGTTATGCTGCTGCTGTTGTTATGCTGCTGCTGTTGTTATGCTGCTGCTGTTGTTATGCTGCTGCTGTTGTTATGCTGCTGCTGTTGTTATGCTGCTGCTGTTGTTATGCTGCTGCTGTTGTTATGCTGCTGCTGTTGTTATGCTGCTG